GCATCGCGCGTCCATCGCCCGGACAGGGGACCCCTCACGCCTCCTGCTCAAGGGCCAGGCCGTGGCTCCGGCCACTCGCTGCCCTGGTCCCGCTCGCACCGTCACCGGGCGCCAGGCTCCTCTCGCGTCTGGATTTACAGGGGTGCGCTCTGGAGGGGCCCGTGGGGTGCGGGACAGCTGCTGGGGAGGGTGGGCATGCCACAGCGTCACCCCCAATTAAAAGCGCCAGCAAAACAACATGGCGAGGTAGGCACATTCCACTGTTCACTGGGACCCCTCAGGCGCTTGGACTTCGGGGGACCCACGGGGCGCTGGGGCTCAGAGCCGCCCCACAGTGGCCTGCCCCACAGCGAGACCGCCTAGCTCTCTGGAGGAGGCCGGACGGGAAAACCAAGCAAGAACTTGCGCAGACCCAGCGGCTGCAACCGTGGCCCCGCTGACGTCACAAGCCCGGCCCTGCTGACGTCACAAGCCCAGCCCCGCCCTCCCCGCCCACCTGCTGTCTCCCAGAGCTACCGAGCAGACTTACAGAGGCGCCATCTTCCCGGGACGAGGGGCGTCAACTTCGGCGCCCCCTGGCCGTCGGGGGGACAGGGCGGTGGCCCTGGAGGGGTGCAGCGTGGCCCTAAAATGGGCTGAAGGTTTTCAAGCGGGAGGCGTGGACCTGGGAACTGTCCCTGGGAGAACAGGCCTGTGACCTCGGAGCCTGGCTGTCCTGGTCCGCAGCAGCCTGGGAGGGACAGATAAGCCCACGCGTCCCAGACGCCTCCACCTAGGGCCGGTCACCACCTGGGCACTTAGAGCCCCAGCCCAGGGCGTCAGGGGACCAGCTAGTGGCCGCCAATCCGTAATCAGAGCTGGGGAGGTGAGGCGAATTGGCCAGATGAGAGCTCAGCCGGGAGCCACAAGGAGGACTTGGGTGTGGGCTTCGGAAGCCGGGACAGATCTGGGGACCGCTCCAGCTGTCCGCCGGGAAGCATCTGAGAGGACAGGCCCCTGCCGCAGGCTGACCGCAGGCCCCGGGCCGCAAGGATGGAGCAGCCAGTCCCCGAGCCTCTGAGGCCGCCTGGCTCACTGGAGCCCCCAGCGGGGTCAGAGACTGATGGCGCTTGGGGGCCGGGGAGCGTGGCCGGCATGGCCCGAGGTGTGAGCGGAGTCCTAGACGTATCAGGACCATCACACGGACAGCGGCAGCCACGCCGCCGGGACAGGCACAGCGGGCAGGGAGCAACTGCCTGTAAGTGCAGTTGGGAGAGGGTTTGCCTGTCGTGCGCTGACAGGGCAAAGGCACCAGGCCGCAGGGCAGTCAGAGCACGGTGGGTGCCGAGCCACCCCCTGGAGAGGACACCCAGGGGCCCACGGAAAGCCAGAGCCTCACCAGCACCGTGCAGGTTGCCCCCCGGGAGACCAGGAGCCAAAAAGCCCAGGAGCAACGGGTAAGGGCAGGGGTGGAGGGTAAGCGCCTCATCCACTGCCGGGGGACTGTCCAGTCCATGTGGGAAGCACCGTGGAGGCTTCTCCAGACATTAAAAACAGATGTGCCCTGGGACCCAGCAGTCTACTCCAGGGGCCACCCGAGGAACGAAAGCCCTGATTCAGGGCGGTGTCTGCCCCTCTGCGTTCCTGGACACAGCATGAGTGCCTGGGACAGGGGCAGAAAAGGAGAACAGGGCCATATGCAACATGGAGTACTACTCAGCTGAGAAAAAGATGGACTATTGCCATTCTCTACAAGGTGGATCAGGAGGGGAGGGTGCTGGGCTGAGTCAGTCAAAAGAACCACAAATGCTGGGTGCTTTCGTGGGAGGGAGACAGGCAAGGCAGGGGACAGGCAAGAAAGACACAAAATGAATCTCAGAAATGTGATTGCAGAACTGAGGTTCCCACGGGACTGGGCGGAGGGTTCCAGGGGCAGGTGTGATGTGAGAACATCCATGTGCAGAGGAGTAAATGCACCCTAATGTAGAGAGCGCTGAAAATGAACATTTCCTTGGAAGTGATAACTCAAAGGAAGGAAGGAATTAAGCATGGGAGGGAAGAAGGAGGGAGGAGGGAAGAAGGGAGAGAGGGAGGGAGGCAGGGAGGGAGGTATGGAGGAGGGATGAGGGAAGGAGGCAGAGAGGAGGGGTGGAGGAGGGAGGGAGGAGGGAGGGAGGATGGAGAGAGAGAGGAAGGACACAGGAAGTCCAATTTGGAACAAAGAGAAAGAGATTGCCAGGAAAATAATGTCCATACAGAGGAAACATCGATCAAAAGATAAAGTTTCCAAGGAGCCCAGATACAGAGCTTAGTAAATAAATATTTTAGATCGGATATTAGAGTTGTTTTCTAGGACCGAAGGGGAGCTGGTCCAGAAAGTTGACCTTGGCTTCGTGCCTGCAAATCAGCGTGCACACTCCACACGGCCGCCAAGAACAGAGCGGCCAGAGCGGCAGGTGATTCAGAGGACACTGGACGTAGTCTCCTGCGTGACCACAGCCACCAGCGAGCTGGGGACAGGGAAGCGGCCTGGAAGGCTCCTGCCAGAGTGCAAAGCCGGTCTCCCGGCTCGCCGGGCAGCGTCTCTGGCCGGCAGCAGCCCCGCATCCCGGCCCACGCGACCAATCCGTGCAGGACGTTCTGTCTGGACCAGCTGGGCCAGTTGACGCCGCAACGGAGCGTCGTCCAGGCTGGAGAGAAGCAGCAAACCACCTTTGTTTGCTGATGGCTGCGTTCAAATCCATTCAGCGTTTTGAGACCCGAAACGTTGGAAACCTCATACGCCACACCCATTGCGTGTCTGTACACGTGCAGAGAACAAAGCAAAAAGCAGGTTTGTAAGATGGTCCCGTTATTCATACGATGGCGACAGAGGAATAAAATTCTGGGGAGAAATTTAACAAGACAAATGGAAATGAGCATCCTGAAAATGACATGAAATCCTGTGGATGGAAACTAAATAAAATCCAAATACCTGAGTGCAGGGTGAGTCTCAGCCCCAAGGAGCTGTGCCGGCCACTGGCCTCAGCCCTCCGTGGCCAGGGAGGGACCACCAGGGCGCAGAGACCCCTCCTGTCTCCCGGCTGCCCCCTCAGCCGTGCCTTCAGGAGACCAGTGTTCTGCTCCCCACTCTCTCTAGGGAGTCCTCTCCACCACCACCCCTCCCCCCGCACCTCCAGCTCTTGCGTGCACAAACAAATCTTTGGGGCAGAAAAACCCCAAATACCCGCAAAGGCACCATAAGTCAGCCACCCCAAAGACGGTGCTGGGGAAAGGACGCCACCCTTAGTCGCAGAAGCTGCACCCCCTCTTTATCAAGATACCAGCCAGCACCTCGGGCACAAGTGGACAGGTTGGCCGGAACACTAGGGAAACACAGGAACCCCCCCAAAGCATTTTGTGTGTAAAGCAGACGCCCCAACATCAGTGGTGCACACTACGCGCCCCAGGGAGCACAGCATCGTGGCGGGCCCCGCCTGTCGGGAGGCGCGGAGGGGTCCGGACGGCGCCGTGTCTTGGGGGCGGGGTGGCGCTAGTGACGGACACCGGGGCACGTGGCCTCTGCTTCTGCAGTGGCGCTGGCTGTGGCCCAGGGCTGCCCGGGAAGGCCGCGGGACAGGGAGCGGCGAGACACTCCTGCAGTCGCTCCACGGACCAACGGGAGAGAGGAGCTGGCGCTATTTAGGGTGTCAGTGCCGCGGGGCTCACGGGGCTGAGCCCAGCGCGTAAGATGACTCCGCTGCTAAGCTGAGCAGCGGGTGGGTGAGGCGCTACTTCCTGAGCCCGAGCAAGCGAGCGCAGGAAGATCAGAGTTTAATTTTGGCTGAGCCGGGCTGGGGGGCGGGGCGCCGGCGGGGTGCGGCGGAGCGCGGGGGAGCGCGGGCTCTGGGTGGGCTCGCGAGGCTGCGCTGTGGGGAGAACGCTCCACTGAGGACAGCCGGCTGCGGCTGGCCGCTCTTCTGCCGCGCGGGCTGCACAGCCAGGGAAGGGAGGCTGCTGTGGACGGGGGAGCTGGTGGAGAACAAGAGTTCGATTTGGGGGGCATAGCATGTTTACGTGGGTGTCTGCGCTGTAGAGGCTGCCGCTGGGGTGTCCTCAACATACGCCACTGGCCACCCAGGCACCCACAGCCACTCCTCGCTTCCCCTCCACCTCCTGAGCCTCAGGGGACCTCAGTGCTACAGTCAACTCTGTAGGGTTCATTCTTCGTTTGACTCCATCTGGTCCTTGGTTTGGTTTCTCTCTGCTCTGTGCTTGGGTTACACCACCTGGCATTTGTCTTTCTCCTCCTGAGTCAAGTCACTGATCATCCTCCCCGCTAGGTCCATCCATGATGTCAGAAGTGGAAGGGCCTACCTTTTTCATGGCTGCGTACTATTCCACCGCATATACAGACCACATCTTCCTAACCCGCTTCTCTGTCCTGGGCACTCTGTGTGTCCCAGCTGGGCTGTATAACTTGCAAAGACTGCCCCACACTCTTGGGCAGCTGTGTGTGCACAGCTGGGCTGTTGTGAATAGAGCCACAGGGAGTACAGATTGGGGGGGGGTGGCAGGCGTCTCCTTGTATTACTGATTCGTGGTCTCTGGGTAGATGGCTAGGAATGGAATTGCTGGCTCATAGCAGGGATCTATTTTTGACACTTGAGGCAACTGCATCTTATTTTCAGAGGTGCCGGACTCTATTCCCACCCCCACCTGATTGCACTATTTTCTTAACTCCCCCCAGACGGGGTCCCTCCTTTCTCGCTGGAGCACCCCCACCTGCTCACCTCGGGGCAGCGTGGCTTCACAGTGAGAGCTGTTCGTGTGATTGTTGGGAAAATCTCCAAGGTTTAAATGAAAATCCACCTTGGAATCCGTCTGCATTGTTCACTGGCTTTCTGTAGCTATGGAGAGAGAGCAGCCGCGTTAAAGCTGCAGCCCGAGGTTACTCACGCAGCAGGAAGGTGAAAGATTTCATCTCGTCTGCACGTTCCCGTGTGTCATACCCACACATCACACAACACCTCCCACGGCGAGCCTATAATTGTCAGAGAAGGCGTGCGGGCGCACAGACCGTCCACCCCGCCCCTGCACATCCCGGGAGACCGGGTGGGCAGGTGGGGGCCGGATCCCCTACTCTCACTCAGGGGGAGCCGGCTGCAGCTCCGCTCCTCACGGAGCACCCCGTCAGCTCCCGGCCTTGGGTTTCGCTCCCAGGGGCCCCGCTCCAACCTCCTGGCCTCTCTGACTGTCCACGGGCTTTGCCACATGTCAGCATGTCCGGTCCCCAGGGCGGGAGGCCCCAGGGCAGAGCCCTGCAAGTGGGTGTCCGAAGGGTCGGACAATCAACACCGCGGGGGTGATGACAGACACCACCTGCATGGGCAGGCTCGGTCGCCAGACATGCCGGACACACTGGACATGCCAGGACATGCCGGACACGCCAGGGCCCGCGGCAGCCATCTGCAGAGGGAGGCGGGAGCCGAGTCCCCCAGGTGGCCCCGGGAGATGAGAATGTTCCCTCGTGGGAAGAGACACTGAAGTGACAGCGTCAAGGCGACACCCCGCTGTCCCGGGGGTGGGGGCCAGGTGCGTCGGCGGCTCTGACCCGCTCTGTCTACACCAGCTCGGGGCGGCGGCGTCCTCGGTCTGGGGTGGGGGGGGGTTCGCAGGTCTCGCTGTCACCCCGATATCTGCGCTGCGCACCGGCACCGCCCCCACCGTGCGTCCCGTCCCCCGCCAGCTTCCCCAGTGGCACCGGACACCCCCACCTCGCTGCTTTTTCAAGCCCCATCGCAGCCTCCCTGCGAGCCAGGGGCTGGCAGCTTCTGACCGCCGCGTCCACCTACGTCCTGGTGGTGCCTGGGTAATAGCCGACGTCTGTCTGCGCCGTTCCTGGCCACGCCCCCGGCGGAGCGGGGTGGGGGGATGCTAGGAGCGCCCCGCTCGGCATGGGTGCCCCTGAGGGGACCCCCTGCCCCTGCGCCCTGGGGGTCACTCCCTGGGGGCCGGGACGGCTCTCAGGCCAGACCCACCCGGCGCCCGGAGGGTCGCCGCTGTCTGTTGTACGTGCTCACCCTGTGCGTACCGGCAAGCACGTACCGGTCACTAAGCGGCGATTCTCCAGCGCTGTGAGTAAATGAGACCCGCGCCTGTGCGGCCCTGACCCCCAGGAATCAGCACGCATCGTGGTCTCATGAGGGGGAGGCCGCCGGGCAGTGGGAGCAGCGCTGACCACACGGGGCAGGGGCAGCGGCAGGCGGCCGCCCTGGGGCTGGGGAGAGGCCAGGCAGGGTGGCCCCAAGGGCCCTGCCTGTGGGGGCTGGGCGACTCCCACGGAGGCCCGTCCTGCACCCACGAGCCCGCTGACCCCAGGCTTTGGCTTCCTGCCCCAGGCCCACCATCTTGTGGCCTGTTACTGGACACTGTGTGGTGGGGTCTGCCCAGTGGGCGAGGCAGCTGGAGGCCAGGCAGCCCCTGTCTGTGTCCGA